CTTAAAGGTACCTAGTTACCCAAGTCCTACTTAAGTGCTGAACTGCTACTGTTTTCATAGATATGGCTCCCATTTAAGTACAACTCTTACTAGTTTAAAATTGGTTGACTTATGACTCATAAAGGAAAGAATAAACATCTGTAGGCTCAACCAAATGGAAGGAGTGAGTTAACTGGCAATTAATTAGCTTGTTGTAAAAAAAAAATCTTCTGAGGATATACCATTTGCATAAGGCAATGATTCTCAGGGTGCCACAGCACCTTGGGGTGTCTTGAGATCCTTTCAAGGGTGCCACAAAGTGCCTCACAATCTTAACACAATGTTAGGCATACAAACATGATTCATAAGCTAAACACAGAGATTTCAAATAGGAATTCATGGTGTTAAAAGTATTCTGACCTGTTGTGGTCTCTCTCAGTGTTTTGTGACAGAAAGTCTAATATATTATTTTTCCATAGTCAAAAAAGAGTAAAAATTAAAAGTTAGTATTTCCCAAGCATGCCTCAAGTCTAACAAAGGGTGCCTAAAAAGGGAGTCTAAAAAGGTTGAGAACCACTGGTATAAGGCAAGACTTATGTTTATTTCAAACTGCCCCACAGAGATCTGCTATACTGAAGAGTATCCTTACTGTTGAGAAAATCTCCATGGCATTTGAGCATGCAGTTATTGCCAGCACTTTGCCCCTGGCCATGATTCAGTTAGGTGGCAGGTGGTACAACAGTCTGAAACCTGCTTCCACTATAGCTGTCAGTCCCAGGGCTGAACAATCGATACAAATTTCCTGGTACAAAATAATTTAAAGTTTGTGATACTCAAAGAAGTAAATGATATGCTGGGACCATTACTCTCACTTTATGAGCAAAACATTACAATAGTGCCTATAGGAAGAGATGGGAAGACAAAGGAAAGGCTGGTTGAGACTAATAATCCTTCCGTTGGTCTTTTTCAGTCAGTCAGAGGTATCAAAGATGTAAGGAGTTAGGTACCATTATCTCATTTTTCAGAGAATCTGATGCATAAAAGTTATAAAAAGTTAGTGGCAGAGCTTGGAATCCTAGCCCCCTAACTCTTTAGTCCAGGGTCTTCCTGACTTCTAGGGCCTCAGGAGCAATTCAGGAAACTGGGACTTACACTACTACGTAACTTGAAACAGAAATTTAGGTCATAGTCAAATAACTATGGCAAGAAACAAAACAGTTATAGGACACAGAATGAGCTTCATGCATGACAAATAACAGTGGTAGTGTAAGCTTACATATTTGTTGTCATGCAAAATTTCAGTGGGACAGTAAAACCTTAAAAGCTCTAACAACTCAGCAGCCTGTCATTTCAAACAATACCAGACCTAAAAGATCTCTCCATATCAGGATGCACAGGGTCTATAACACATTAATAGTCATCTTTCATCAAGCATGAAACTAACAGTCAGGAAATACAGCTGCAATAGCATTATTACACTTACACTTGGAATAGACCCTGAAGCAAAGAAAACAAATGGGTTGCTTTTCATTAACAGAACTTGGCAAACATCACCAAAGACAATGTTTTCTTTCCAGAAATAATCCCAAGAGGCATTTAAGAGGCTCTTTGCTGAGGTAAACCTAACACATGAATAAATCATTAATATATTAATTTTATATTTCAAAACAAATAATTTTCCAGTGTATAATCATATCGCTAAACGAGACGGTCTATATTTAACCAAAATCGATTGCTTCCTGAAGAGTTTTTCATATACACAATGCAAAGAAAAGCTCTGGTCCGACAAATATTTATGCTTAATGTAATTCATGCAAGTAGTCCCAGTGAAGTCAATGGGATCTGTCTGAGGAAAGGCAAGTATGCATTTTCAAAAGAGTGTTTTCAAGTGCATGTGTTTAAGTGATGGCAGTGTGACAAGCACCAGATCTAAAAGTGATAGCAATCTCAAATATTTAAAAAATGTAGAGGTGCCTGACTACAACTCCCCAGTTAAATGTTTGGAAATTGGCTTAAAAAGGACAAATACTTCCATTTCTAAATTTCCCACTTTTCAATACTTTTGAAATTTCTAATAGTTGCTACTCAACTTCATCTCTCAAAAAATAATAGAAAGTGTTTTAAACTGAGTTGTGACTAATTTTTTTAGCAACAGTTTGCTTTTAAAAAGAAAATACTTTTACTTATAAAAAGCTGACAAAGATTAATTTTGAATAAAGCTGGTACAATGGAAAGGATTTTAAATAACTGGGAGTTACTTTCACTTCACTTTTTAATTTAATCTATTCATGATCCAAAATTGTAAAATAAGTCCAGCAATATAAACTGTTCAAAGTACTTGAGCATAAAACACTAATTGGAAAAATATCACATTTGGGAAGGTGAACATTGTGACAACAGCTAAAAGGAAGAAATTAATATTTGAAGTAAAAGATTATGGTAGTTAACCTTTTCAAAAACAGGTTAACTAGCACACTCTTCCATTCTAAATATTAGTTATTTTATAAAACATTTCCATGGAACTTTATCAAAGTACTGTTGTAAACACTTGTAGCAATCAGCATAGTTAAAGGATCATGGCAAAAATAAGGCCCCCTTTTCTTTTCCAAACCTTGAAGACCAGAATCACAAATAATGAGGCTTCTTATTATAAAATAAGAGCTGCACTGTGGAATATTTGCATTCATTTTTGCAACAGTGATTTGTTTTGAGAAAGACTTTTGTCATCCGTACATAACACACACACACACACACAAACTAGATCACAGCTTTCTGAGTCACTGATTCCTACATTTAGCTTATATTGAAGTGTATCAGACAAGGAGAAAAATTCAGAAGCGTCTCCCATCCCCAGCAGCAGAGATCTTTATGCACTATGTTCCATGTTCCATGTTCCACTTGTTAGTTAAGCTAGTGTTATAGTTACTTTATTATGCTTTAATAGTGTCCAGGAATGGGCTGTTAATTTATCTTTGTTTCTTTGGAAATATAGTGGAACATCAGATTTTTTATATATTTAGTTTTAGCTGTAGTAATAGAAGGCCTTACATACTCTGAAGAGATCAGATAACATTAAGACTCTCTCTGTCTCAGGAACTGCAGAGTGATTTCTAGTTTTTATAGCATATAGCACAATGTAGCTGAACTTCTTATTCTACACATGATATTCACAGATTTATAGATTGAAGGTTTAACCGGAAATTGTTTTCAGGTTTGGTTGTCTCTCTCATCAGATACCACTTATGGCAGAAGCAACTCATTCTTGACTGTTTTTGGCAGCTCTCCTACTATTTCTCCAAATCATCACTAGACTGAAACATTTATTTTCTCCCCATCCTTATGAATTCACAGACCAAATGAAATTAGCCAACTGTACGGCTACTATGCTGCACTATGACTTCTGGGCAAGGGGCTATGCTATGATAATTGAAAAAAGATGCCCAGCTTTTTGTTTCTTTAGTAAATCTCTACTTGCAATGCTGATAGTGATTTTTACATTGTGGAAGAAGAGACTATGAAAATAAGCAATGAGAGCAGAATCAGTCTGATATTCTAAGAGCAGCAATTCCATACGAATCCCCAAATTGTACTGCAAGAATCAAGAACAGTAAAAACGAGCATTTGAAAGAGTTGGTGGGACACCCAAGCGTTGAAAGTCAACCCTGGGTGCATCTACATGAGACGCTTTACTGCACAGTAGCATAGTTTACTGTGCAATAAGCACGTGCATCTAAAGTGCACATGCTTGCTGCACAGTAAACCTTGCTAACAGTGAGTAAATTTGCTACCTGCAAATGCAAATAACAAAAATAAGTTCAATTACTAACTGTGAAGTAGCGCTCATGTAGACGTCTGACCAGGAGCAAATCTGCTCCCATTTAGCCATACACCAGGGGGCGGGAGACTGTTCCCTGTCCCCAGGAGCTGCCTGCTGCTGGGCTGAGCTCTGCCACTAGAGCTTGGGCAGGAACTGTCTCTCTGCCCCAGCAGCAGGGAGCTCCAAACCCCTAACTTCAAGACCGTGATTGGGGAGCAGGGGCTGAGAGATCCTCATCTCCCAGCCCCAGCTTCACCATCACTATTGGCAGAGACAGGGAAGTCCTCATCTTCCAGCCCAAACTCCATGGTTGTGGGGCTCAGGCTGGGAAATCCTTAAGATCGTGGAACTGAGTAGAGAACAGACTCCCCACCCTGTTTCCCACACAGCTCCATGATTATGGAGCTGAGTGGGGAAACAGGCTCCCCAGCTTCCACCCTGCAATCATGGAGCAGGGGCTGGGACCTGTCCCGGTCAGGGGCAGGTCCCAACCCTGTGTCGCAATCGGGTGATTGAGGCATGAGGCTTGGGAAGAGCTTCAGGGGTGAGGCAGGTCCCTGCTACCAGGGCAGAGGGGGACAGTTCCTGCCCCAGTAGCAGGTAGCCCCCTGGGGGCAGGGAGCAATGTCCCAACCCCATATGGGAAACAGCTGTCTCCTGGCCTGGTGCTCCCTGCCAGCTCTCGGGCTAGCGGGGGGGGGGGGGGGGGGGGAGCACATATCAACACCACCCCCCTGGGTACTTGGAAGTCTAGAAAGACTTTTTAATGTGAGAAGATATTTTTTTTAATTCAGAACTTTAAAAGCAGATGCTAAAGCAATATGGTGGCCAATCTGTGGTAATTTGGAGAACAATGTCAAACTCTGGATTTTATCCCAGTTGCCCACTACTCTTTTTGGCCCTTCTTTACCTTCTTTACCATGTACTATTATACATTAATACATTAAGTAATAGCACTATACACAATAAAGGTATCTTTAACTCCTCTAAATTGCAAAAGGCTGACCAAAGTGAATTTAACAAAAAGAAATGCCAACGCATTGGGTAAGGCACATTCACAGCGACTGCTGCTGAACAATTTGTGGTAAACTCCTAAGATCTAAACATAAACCCCAAATTTGTTAATGACTTTTTCCCTCAGTTTCTATTAAATTATTCTACAGTTTGTCAAATGGACAACAAAATACATCTGTAGATTTCTTACCTTTAACATAGTGAATTCATATGGCTGATAACCTTTGAAACTTTCATGGATAGCTGCCATGGTGTGTGAGGTTTTTTCCCAGAAATGAAGAAGGGTTGTCTGTCATGGAAAGTAATATTTCAGTACAAAGCATGCAATACAACCTTTCATTCTCCCCAGATATTGAAACATTCTTAAAGTCAACAGCAAACAGTTATACTGAACTGTGTTGAAAAATATGTGCTCTGGTAACAGGAAACTAATCTTTTGCGATCAAAATATTTTTGGATACCTGATATGTTGTTAGTACATGAGACAGGAGGTTGCATCTGCTAGCTCCAAGAAGATCTACTTTCTGACAGACGTCAGTCTTCAATTTGTCAAAGTTCAGTTTTGTGTGGCGTACTTGTGCTTGCACCTTCAAATACAAAGGACATTCATTTATCAAAAGCATGACAAGGAGAGGAAGATGTGAGCAGTTTGTCATTAATAATTTAAACTTCTCTGCCTTTCATCTTTCCAGCCCAGCAGTACCTGATAAAAATCCCTAAAAAACAATTTAATTAATGCATCTTTTGAGATAATTAGGTCAGTTTAACGTAGCTCATTAAAAACCTATAGAGGTTCATTTATGCCATGTTTCAAGTGAAATGAGAATTTGGTCAACTGATCCATGACAGAATATAGCCCTTGGTATTTTCTCCTTGTCCTTTTTATTTATGAAAGGTCACTATAATAACTGAAGAAACAATTTTTATACTCATGACATGAATATAACATAGGATCACAGGACATTAAGGTTGGAGGGATCTCATTAGGTCATCCAGTCCAGCCCTCTGCCCAAAGTCTTGGCTAAAAACATCCCAGCCAAGTTTCTGTCTAACCTGCTCTTGAAAACTTCTAGGAATAGAGATTTCACAGTTTCTCCAGGTAGATGGCAATGTTCAACAACTCCTGTAATGAGAAACGTCTCCCTTATCTCAAACAAATTTACTCCTACAGCCACAGAGAAAACTATTTTTTTTTTATTATCAAATCATCCCTCAGCCTTCTCTTCCCTAGATTAAACAGTCCTAGTTCTTTCAAGCCTTTCCCCATAAGTCATACTTCCCAGACCTCTAATCATTTTTGTCAATTTCTGCTGGACTCTTTACAATCTATCCACATCTTTCTTGAAGTATGGAACCCAAAACTGAATGCAGTACTCCAGGTGGGGCCTCATCAGTGCTGAACAGAAAGGAAGAATCACTTCCCTTGATTTGCAAGAGATAGTCCAGTAGGTTGTTGGCTTATTTTTACACCAAGAGCACACTGTTGGCTCATATTCAGCTTATGGTCCATTGTAACCTTAAATATTTGTTATTATTTGTTCAATTTTGTACCAAGTTAGAATAAACAAAATCTTGACTGATGATCTACTAATATGAAACTATAATTAATGTCTAATTAAAATAAAGATAATTATCTGCTGTTATATCTATGAATAAAACTATTAAACATTTGGCTATTGGTGCTCATCACTTGAACAAGTGGTGAGAAGGCAATGCAAGATGCTCCTTGAGGACATGTCACCGGCAATGACATGTACCCAAGGAACCATGCTTCTATGATCCAAAGATGGAACAACACTCTTTAAAGAGTTCCACCATCAATGTATGATGGAAGGAGCACTTTCAGGAGCTCCTGACCTGAGATTCTAACGTTGAAGACAATACCTCTGAGGCCATTCCACAACACCCCATTTAGGGCTACCTTGTGGATCTACCAACTTATCAAGAAGTCTTGAAAGCTGTTAAACAGATGAAGAACAATAAGGTATACAGGCCCAATGGAATACCAGCTGAAATGTATCAAAAGAGCTCTTAGCAACTACATGGTGTTGTTCTGTAACAACAAAGAATCATAGAATTATAGAAAATTAGAGTTGGAAGGGACCTCAGGAGATCATCTAGTCTAATCCCCTGCTCAAAGCAGGACCAACACCAGCTACAGCATCCCAGCTAAAGCTTTGTCCACCCAGGTCCTAAAAACATCCAAGGATGGAGATTCTACAACTTCTTTGTGTAGCCTGTTCCAATGCTTTACTACCCTTCTGGTGAGGAAGTTTTTCCTAGTATCTAAGCTAAACTTCCCCTGCTGCAACTTGAGACCATTGCTCCTTGTTCTGACATCTGCCACCACTGAAAAAAGCCTAGCTCCATCCTCTTTGTAACCATACTTCAGGTAACTGAACACTGCTATTAAATCCTCACTCTCTTCTCTTTTCCAGGCTAAATAAGCCCATTTCTCTCAGCTTCTCATAAGTCATGTTCCCCAGCCCTCTAACCATTTTTGTTGCCCTCTGCTGGATTTTCTCCAATTTATTCATATGCTTTCTGTAAGGAGGTGGGGGGAAGGGGCAAACCGGACACAGTACCCCAGATGTGGCTTCACCAGTGCCGAATAGGAGGGGAAGAATCACTTCCTTCAATCTGCTGGCAACATCCCTACTAAAGCAGCCAAGCATGTTGTTAGCCTTCTTCGCAAGAAGAATGCCCTGTAAACTCATATTG